CCGTGGTATGGTTTGTTTGTTTGCAATCGTGTCATTACGATTTTGTGAGTCATGTTGACGGCATTGAGGGGACTTGAGCTAGAGTTCGTCACAGTACCCCCCCCACGGGGGGGGGGGTTACTGTGAAGTTTACATGTCACAGAGTTGAGAGTGTCTGGTTAAAGGGAGATACTGGGTTTTCCCGCAAGGCTAGCTGCTGCCTCCACCCACATGAAAACAACTTATCCTTATTTTCGATGTTTAATGTCGACACTTCCTGTAAACTTATTAATGCTAGTTTCTTTGTTTGAGAGTGGGTTGGGCTGCGTTACATTACGTGAGTCTTTTTACACTCAAAGGAGGTTCCTTGATACTGGTGAGAGGGGTTCTTGATTTAAAGAATTGGACCATTGCTTCATTTCCTTGAATCAATCTTGAATACCTTCCATTTCCCCCAGGCACTGTGTGACTCCTATGGGTGTAATGCTCCCATGAATGTAATAATAATGTAAACATTTTCTTTTAATCATAAATGTGCAAATTTTTAGTATTACTGGGTGGTATTATTATTATTATTATTATTATTATTATTATTATTATTATTATTATTGCTGTATTACTGTTATTATATATATATTTTTTTTATTAATACACTGGCCGATTCCCACCAAGGCAGGGTGGCCCGAAAAAAGGAAAACTTTCACCATCATTCACTCCATCACTGTCTTGCCAGAAGGGTGCTTTACACTACAGTTTTTAAACTGCAACATTAACACCCCTCCTTCAGAGTGCAGGCACTGTACTTCCCATCTCCAGGACTCAAGTCCGGCCTGCCGGTTTCCCTGAATCCCTTCATAAATGTTACTTTGCTCACACTCCAACAGCATGTCAAGTATTAAAAACCATTTGTCTCCATTCACTCCTATCAAACACGCTCACGCATGCCTCCTGGAAGTCCAAGCCCCTCGCACACAAAACCTCCTTTACCCCCTCCCTCCAACCTTTCCTAGGCCAACCCCTACCCCACCTTCCTTCCACTACACTGATACACTCTTGAAGTCATTCTGTTTCGCTCCATTCTCTCTACATGTCCGAACCACCTCAACAACCCTTCCTCAGCCCTCTGGACAACAGTTTTGGTAATCCCGCACCTCCTCCTAACTTCCAAACTACGAATTCTCTGCATTATATTCACACCAGACATTGCCCTCAGACATGACATCTCCACTGCCTCCAGCCTTCTCCTCGCTGCAACATTCATCACCCATGCTTCACACCCATATAAGAGCGTTGGTAAAACTATACTCTCATACATTCCCCTCTTTGCCTCCAAGGACAAAGTTCTTTGTCTCCACAGACTCCTAAGTGCACCGCTCACCCTTTTCCCCTCATCAATTCTATGATTCACCTCATCTTTCATAGACCCATCCGCTGACACGTCCACTCACAAATATCTGAATACATTCACCTCCTCCATACTCTCTCCCTCCAATCTGATATCTAATCTTTCATCACCTAATCTTTTTGTTATCCTCATAACCTTACTCTTTCCTGTATTCACTTTTAATTTTCTTCTTTTGCATACCCTACCAAATTCATCTACCAACCTCTGCAACTTCTCTTCAGAATCTCCCAAGAGCACAGTGTCATCAGCAAAGAGCAACTGTGACAACTCCCACTTTATGTGTGATTCTTTATCTTTTAACTCCACACCTCTTGCCAAGACCCTTGCATTTACTTCTCATACAACCCCATCTATAAATATATTAAACAGGCAAAAGGGGGGGGTTGGCCTGTACATTGCAGAGTCACTTGTTTGCACAGAACTGCTTAATGTCTCAAATGATGTAGTGGAAGTTTTAGCAGTAAAGGTCGAGAACCAAAACCTAGTCCTTGTGGTAGTCTACAAGCCTCCGGATGCAACATCCCAGCAATTCCAGGAACAGCTGTTAAAAATTGACCACTGTCTGGAAAATCTTCCAGCTCCTGCACCCAACATCTTGCTCCTGGGGGATTTCAACTTAAGGCACCTAAAATGGAGGAATATAGCAAATAATATTGTTGCAGTAATAACACCAGGAGGCAGCTCTGATGAAAACTCACACGAGCTTTTAAATCTCTGCACAAAATTTAATTTAAACCAGCAAATAATAGAGCCTACTAGACTGGAGAATACACTAGACCTCATCTTCACTAACAATGATGATCTGATAAGAAATGTCACCATATCAAAAACAATATACTCAGATCACAACATAATTGAGGTTTAGACATGTATGCGTGGAGCCCCAGACCAACATAATGAGATTAGTCACGAGGGAGCATTCACCAAATTCAACTTCAATAACAAAAACATAAAGTGGGACCAAGTAAACCAAGTCCTAACCGATATAAGCTGGGAAGATATACTAAGCAACACAGACCCCAACTTATGCCTAGAACAGATTAACTTGGTGGCACTCGATGTATGCACAAGGCTTATTCCTCTAAGAAAAAGGAGGGAGTAGATGTAAAATAGAAAGAGACAGGCGCTCCCTTTACAGGCGACGGAAAAGAATAACAGAGCGGCTAAAAGAGGTCAATATATCTGAAATGCGTAGGGAGATACTGGTCAGAGAAATAGCAAGCATTGAACTTAAGCTAAAGGAATCTTATAGGAGTCAGGAATCGCGGGAAGAACTAAAAGCCATAAATGAAATCGAAAGAAACCCAAAGTATTTTTTCTCCTATGCCAAATCAAAGTCGAGAACAAGTCCAGTATTGGGCCCCTACTTAAACTAGATGGTCTACCAGATGACAGCAAGGAAATGAGTGAGCTACTCAAGTCCCAATATGACTCAGTTTTAGCAAGCCTCTAACCAGACTGAGAGTCGAAGATCAAATGTATTTTTTATGAGAGAGCCACAGAATTTGGTTAACACAAGCTATCCGATGTTATCCTGACGCCAAATGACTTCGAACATGCGATAAATGACATGCCCAGCACTCTGCCCCAGGGCCAGACTCATGGACCCGTGTTCATCAAGAACTGCAAGAACCCCCTATCACGACCTTTTTCATCCTATGGAGAGGGGCAGGACACGGGGTCGTCCCACAGTTACTAAAAACAACAGACATAGCCCCACTCCACAAAGGGGGCAGTAAAGCAACAGCAAAGAACTACAGCCCAGTAGCACTAACATCCCATATCATAAAAATCTTTGAAAGGGTCCTAAGAAGCAAGATCACCACCCATCTAGAAACCCATCAGTTACACAACCCAGGGCAACATGGGTTTAGAACAGGTCGCTCCTGTCTGTCTCAACTATTGGATCACTACGACAAGGTCCTAAATGCACTAGAAGATAAAAAGAATGCAGATGTAATATATACAGACTTTGCAAAAGCCTTCGACAAGTGTGACCATGGCGTAATAGCGCACAAAATGCGTGCTAAAGGAATAACAGGAAAAGTCGGTCGATGGATCTATAATTTCCTCACTAGTAAGTAAGTAAGTAAGTTTATTCAGGTATACACAAATACAGTTGCATAGAATTATCATACATAGCAGCATATGTGTAGAGAACCTAGGATAACCCAAAAAAGTCAGACAGAGTGATTTATTTCCATTGGGGTCCTTTACTTATTTACATTGGGGTCCTAACAGAACACAGAGAGTAGTCGTCAACAGAGTAAAGTCCGAGGCAGCTACGGTGAAAAGCTCTGTTCACAAGGCACAGTACTCGCTCCCATCTTGTTCCTCATCCTCATATCCGACATAGACAAGGATGTCAGCCACAGCACCTTGTCTTGCTTTGCAGATAACACCCGAATCTGCATGACAGTGTCTTCCATTGCAGACACTGCAAGGCTCCAGGCGGACATCAACCAAATCTTTCAGTGGGCTGCAGAAAACAATATGAAGTTCAACGATGAGAAATTTCAATTACTCAGATATGGTAAACACGAGGAAATTAAATCTTCATCAGAGTACAAAACAAATTCTGGCCACAAAATAGAGCGAAACACCAACGTCAAAGACCTGGGAGTGATCATGTCGGAGGATCTCACCTTCAAGGACCATAACATTGTATCAATCGCATCTGCTAGAAAATGACAGGATGGATAATGAGAACCTTCAAAACTAGGGAGGCCAAGCCTCATGATGACACTCTTCAGGTCACTTGTTCTATCTAGGCTGGAATATTGCTGCACACTAACAGCACCTTTCAAGGCAGGTGTGAAATTGCTGACCTAGAAAATGTACAGAGAACCTTCACGGCGCGCATAACGGAGATAAAACACCTCAATTACTGGGAGCGCTTGAGGTTCCTAAACCTGTATTTCCTGGAACGCAGGCGGGAGAGATACATGATTATATACACCTGGAAAATTCTAGAGGGACTAGTACCGAACTTGCACACGAAAATCACTCACTATGAAAGCAAAAGACTTGGCAGACGATGCAACATCCCCCCATTGAAAAGCAGGGGTGTCACTAGCACGTTAAGAGACCATACAATAAGTGTCAGGGGCCCAAGACTGTTCAACTGCCTCCCAGCATACATAAGGGGGATTTCCAACAGACCCCTGGCAGTCTTCAAGCTGGCACTGGACAAGCACCTAAAGTCGGTTCCTGACCAGCCGGGCTGTGGCTCGTACGTTGGTTTGCGTGCAGCCAGCAGTAACAGCCTGGTTGATCAGGCTCTGATCCACCAGGAGGCCTGGTCACAGACTGGGCCGCGGGGGCGTTGACCCCCGGATCTCTCTCCAGGTAAACTCCAGTATTATATTCATGTGAAACTGCTGAGCGATTGGTCACTAAATGCTGCAACAGCTGTATACCTGTGTTGATAAGTCTAGTTAGTAGGTTCTAAAATATACTGATCATACAAATAGTAATTCAGTTATGAAGCCAGGTACTTTTGTGGGGCATCTTTAGTGTGTTGAAGCATACCCCAAATTCTGAATTAGTTCCCAGGAGTATCCTAATCCTGTGCATATAGAGTTTTCATGTAGATTAACATTCTATTTTCCTGTAGGACTGAGCGTGGGCCTGCATGGGTTTCATGTACACGAGTTTGGTGTTGATGGTGCTAGTGGAAAGTGCCTTGATGCCAAGGCTCACTACAACCCAGAAGGCTACAACCACTCCGCCCCTAATGCCACTAAACGTCATGTGGGTGACCTAGGCAACATTGAGAGTGTCTTTGACTCTTCCCAAGATGGCAACACTCTTAATGGACTTTCTGGGATTGCTTATGTTGACGTAAGTACTGGTAGTCCACCTTTGATGGTTGGTTAATTTGTTCAATTGAAAGCCTGATCACAGACTGGGCCATAGGGGCGTTCACCTCTGAAACCCTCTCACTTGTCATATGTATGTCACCAGTCAAGCATACTTTAAATCCCTCTTAGGATCCAACACTGTCAATGTTGAGCTCGTAAAGATATATAGAGTACGTATTTGGATGACAGCCAACAAACTCACACTCAGTGTTGATAAGATTTTATACAGTGTTCGGTAACAAGGGTAAAAATATTAAATTGAACATAAGGTAAATAATGCATATTGAGGAAAACAGATATGGGAAAATTTTTATGTATACACATTGACAGCAAATTAAAATTCAACACTCACACATCCAGCACATACCTAAAGAAAATTTCTAAAGCAGTGAGCATTCTTTCAAAAATGTGTACTTCAAACAACGTTTGAAGTACACATGTATTTTTTACTTCATGGTATATGTGCATGGGGAGCTGAAACAGCAGATCACATAAAACCCATTGCAACAACAAAACCTGCTATTAGAATTATTACAAAATCAGGTTTCAGGCTACACATACATACCCACAGTTAAAAAGTTTAACTTTACTCAACATGCAAAATATTCATTTACTGCTGCACACACTATATGTACAGGATACAATACAAATATTATCCCAGACCTAAAACTCTTCTTGGAGAACTTCAACAAACAGTACAAGAAACAAGTATCTCTTTGATATCTCATGTGTTCAACTTAGCCTGAGTAGAAATTGCATTCAGTTAAAAGGCCAAAAAGTATGGAACTCTATCAGAAAATTCTATAAGTTTTGTTTCTGCCAACTGCCTCAAATATAAAAAAACTGAATTTAAAGTAAATTTACTTAGATTGAATATAAATATTAAATACAGTACATATATCTAATGTAGCCTGCTTGTCCAGATTCCAATCAACATTCATACTCTTGCATTCATTATCACCATTGTATAACTCATAATGTCACTACAGTTTTGTTTTACTATCCCTTTATATTAACTTTACTCTTTTTTAGTATACAGTACTGTACTGAATTTTGTAACTTACGCTAATCATTACATTTAAGAATCTTATCTTCAGATAACATATTTATATTGAACTTACCATTCAGATAAAACTTTGAGTATACAATGCCAAGTAGTTTTTAGTTCTATTCTAGTCTTAGTCTGCCCAAAATGCATGAAATAAATTATTTTATTATGCAATGGTTTCATGATTTTTTTTTAGTGCTGTTACCAACATTATTATATTCGTTATTATCAGCCTTGGACCCCAGTGGAAATAAATCATAATTTATAAATTTACAAGCCAAAATTTATTCTACATCCCATTCTGGCTCTGTTGGGTTATCCTGGATTAGTAACCTTCCTGGGTAAAATAACCCTAGTTATATCATCATGGTTTTTCCAGATCAAAGACCATATGATCAGCCTGTGGGGAAAACATTCGATAGTGGGCCGGGCCATAGTGGTCCACGAGGGTAAGGACGACCTGGGACTGGGCGGCACAGAGGTCTCCCTCAAGACTGGTGATGCTGGTGGTAGGCTGGCCTGCTGCACTATCTTCATTGTACCCAGCGCTTCCACTTAGACAACCACACTAAATTAAACCAAGATGGCTGACTCTATTCATCCATATTCGTGGTTGGTTTTTAGAAGATCCCTGTTAAATGGGTGGTTTCAGTACCTGAGGTGATTTTATTTTTTGATATATAGATACCATAGATAATTTAATATATAAGTGTTTAGTAAATTCCATTGTATACAAATCTTAGAGGAAAATTTTGAGAAATCTTTCCATAGTGAAGAAGTGTAAAAAATATCAGAAGTACATTCTTTATATGAAAGGGGAAAAAAAAATCTAGTCCCGCCACCCAGGATTTGTGGTTCAACTTTTCCCTAACAGGTTTTAAGGAATGGATCTCAGTAAGTAATTAAGAATTTGGGATATACCAAAGTATTGGTATTGGCAGATTTTGACGGTATCTGTATTGGTCTAAAATTGAGTACCGGCATAGGTGGATATTGATTAATTTTGATGGTATTGGTATTGATGTAAAATTGAATATCAGTACAAGCAAAAATTTTGGTATCGTCCCATCCCTAAGAATATGTGTAAACAAATGTCTATGAGCTAACTAATGGTGATTAAGACACTTTTAGCACAGAAATCTTTGATTAATTTTACATTTTACCCACTTGGGGCTTTATCAAGTACACGAAATGCCCAGAAACAGTGGTATGTACACCCAAATGGTGCCTAAACATTTGTAGCAGTTTTGGAAACTTGTAGTTGTTCACTATATTGTACATTGTACCTGCCATGCAGATAAAAAAATAATCAACAACACAGTCACTAGTATGTACAATATTGATGATGGTTTAAACTTCACTAGTTGTAAATTGCTCTATTAAGATGTTAGCCTTTTAGATCAAAATAATGCACATCCATAGTATTGTTTACTGTGTTTTATCACAAACTTTTTAAATAATAAATCTGTAAGTACATTGTATTTAAGTTTATATTTAATATGTTTGCTAAAGAAAGTTGAGATGAGACTGAACTCCTGATTCTAATAATTGTATCATAATTTTGTGTACAGTAGACACCCACCTTTCATGCAGGTTATGTTCCAGTTAAATGGAGCTAAATGTGAAAACACAATAGGTGGAATGAACAGTTTATTGGAAAAATTGTGCTACATTCCATCCCACCTCTAAAAAAAAGTCAGAGCATTTCTTTTAAATTCACAATTCACCTGAAATAACAAACTAAGTAGTGTACACATAATTTAAAAGACACATGTTATGTGCACATTAATGCACAGTGTTAGTGTGATACAAGATGATTTAACCTGGCAAACTTAATAAAGTCAAGCAATGTAAATACAAGATTACAGTACTGATTGTAAATTCGGGAGATTGATTCTTAAGTGGCTTTATGTTAGTGGAGAGGGTTGGGGTGGTCCCGCTGGGTCACATGAGGTGAAGGCTGGGGTTCATGGGCTGAAGTGGATGGCTGGGATTCTTGGGTTGAAGTGGACGATTAAGATTCATAGGCCCTCAAGTATTCTACCATGCGTCTCTATTGCTTGGTCCAGAATCAGCTTTGGAACGGTGTTTCCAGATGTGCCAGGGTTTTCTTCAGTGAAAAAACCCTGCAATCTTAGCAGCAGCATCGAACTGCTCACATAGCTATTGCAGTGTAAAGTGTCTAATTAACTGCAGGCTCATTTTCCTCATCTTTTATCGTCTGATTTCCTTCTGTCGGGGAAGTGAGCTCTGCCAACATTTCTAATGGGCATCTTTCTTTCTCATCTTCTGGGAGTTTATCGATGTCTTTTGGCTGCATGCTTGAAAGCACTCGCCTAGCAGTCTGCTTGCCAGATCATCAAATTCCTGGACTTGACTCTCAGCTGAAGGAAAACCAAAGAAATTATTCAGCATACCAGGTCATACCTTTGTTCAGCATGCATTTATTGTTGATTTGGGCACATTATCCCAAACCAAGGCAGCTGGTGGTGGTGTGGGTGTAAACAAAGCTAAGTCTACCATGAAACAAAGAGGCCCGAGCCTCCTGAGAGGGAAATTGTCCCACCTATGCTGCTGCAGTGGCTGGCCATGTTAAAGCACAAGGTAGAAAAATGTTGAGCTGCAATGAAGGTGGGGAACCTTTAGAGCAAAAAGAGGAAAGAGACGTAAAGAATGAATCATGAACAGACAGAAACACAGTAGGTGGAGGCATGAAAGGTGGTGGTGGTTTACTGTATTTGGTTATATTTTTTTACCATCTGCAGTTCATAAGTGTTAAGTAAATTAACTTTAAAAAAATCCATTTGTAATGTAACTTCATCATTAATTTTATTTTTGTATATACATAGTGTGTGAAACTACTTTGTGTAAATTTGAGCATGTTCTAACATAATACATGTATAATTAGTTATTTAAAGGTAATGTATATCGGCCCAATTGCCTTCTCTCAGGATAAGTCACAGCTGTACCTCAGAAAATATTTGTTTTATGTATTGTTGGAGCAGAAGACAAATTTTGATGAGATACAACAAAGGGATCAACATTCTATGGCAGTACTGTATGAAATCTAGGGTTGATAATTCCTTGGGAAATATCAGCATTAGTATGTATCTAGATAGAATCACTTAATAAGAAAAATATATGATAAAGTATAATGTACATATACACCATAAAAAATTTAACACCATCTATTCATCTAGGATGGAAGGTTATTGTGAAAGGTGTAATAGGAAAGTTTGGAGTGTGAGGTTTAAATAACAATTTGGAACTTTTAAATTAACAGTATGCATGAAATGGGGGTTTGATAATAAGAGACATATTTCAAGAAAAAAAAAAAACAGATGCAAAAGTACAGTATTCAGCATACGATATGTGTGCAATGAGAACATTCTGCTAGACGCTGTCAGTTGATTAAAGGTTGAGACTTAAGGAGCGACACAAGTGATCATGATTAAATTAATGGTTGATAAAGAGACTGGAAATCTGAGAACCAGGGAAAGGGGTGTCAGCAGGTAAAAAGAAAATGAAATTTAATTCAGTAAAATATGGTTTGTGAAAGATTTAAGGAACTGTTGGAAGACAACTTAGGGTAAGAGAAATTGATGAAGTTGAAGTAATGTGGAGCTGATTATGAATTCAGTGTGTGGGGTTGTGCTTGCTTGTGTGTGTGTGCAGCAGAGGATTGTGGTCATGGAAGGACATGTTCAGGAGGGAAGAGAAATAATAAAATTACGTGAAAATAGTGGTAAGGAATAAAAAGTTAGTTTTTAAAGTTTTTCATGTAAAAGTTATTTATGGAAGATAGAGTATATACAGATAAAAAAAAAAACAGCAAATGAAAGACTGGGTAATTCCTTAACTTTCATATTGTCGGTATTTTATACCTTTCTTGCACAGCAAATTTCACCAAGAACGTAAATGGTTTTCAAGAAAGATGAATAAGGTGAGGAAACCTCTGAGGAACAGATGAATTTCTCTATTAAGAGTGAAAGTGGTGAGTTGCTGGACTAGAAGATAAGTGTTAGAGAGATGGAGAGAATATTTTTATTTTGTTTTTTAAAGTACATATTGAAATGGAGACAGAAATTTCCTGCAGTGAGCTAGGAGGAATTACAGTAGATTTGTTAGGTGGGTAGAGCCAGAAGTGTGGTTGGAGGAATTGGGCATTGTCCTAAGTAGGTTGAAAGTGGTAAAAGCAGTGGTAATAGATGGAATTAAGATTGAATTGCTGTATCCTGATTTGAATGTTTTTTTAATATTTGATACTTTGGTGTCCTGGTTAAAAATCCAAACAAATCTTATCTTAATCTTTTCTTAACATGTACAGTTTGTATAAAAGATGTGCAGACACCTAAGAATTATAAAGGAGAAGGTCTGGTGAGTATACCTGGTAAAGGGTATAACAGAACAGTTAAAGAAGAAATGAGTGTAATTGTGTATTGTGGATTTAGGAAGGGAAGAAAATGTGTGGATCAAGTGTTTGCCCTGAAACATACAAGTGAGCTTCGTTTAGTTAAGGGAAAGGAGCTGTTCACTGTATATTGGAATTTAGAAAAGACACATACGTATTAGGGTCGACAGGGAAGCAATGTGGCAAGTGTTGTAAATGTATGGAATAGGTAGCAAATTATTAAAATCTGTAGAAGAAAATTGAAAATGAGGCTTAGGTTAAAGTACATATATAGTAGAGAAGGGGCTCAGTTTGATGTTACACAATTATGTGGGATGTCATTGTTATGGCTAAATGTCTTTTTAGATGAGAATGTTAAATAATTTACTAATGAAAGCTACATGGAATTTAAAAGAATGGGTTCAAAGATTATAGAATATGCAATCACTGAATCCAGGAACAGATTAAAAGTTCATGCAATAATTTTCCTGGAGAGACACAAACATGTCGTTCGATAGGATATCTTTACACAGTGTGGTAACATGTACATGCGAGGACAGGATTATTGCACAGGACGCTGACCATTTGACTCCAGTGCTGTGTAAATTTTTCAACATCTCTCTTTCCTTTCATTATGATCCCATTAAAACGGATTGCCGTAGCATTTCCAACATTAATCACATTCTTCAGTTTTATTTATTCCTTTTAAAATATATGACTGTATTTTTAACTTTTATGAAATAGTTTAATGTTAATTTTAAGTGAGTGTAATATATGTAATTTATATTAAAGCTTTATTATTATCATTATATTTTATGTACAGTTCTTGATGTATGCCGTGAATAAAATCTGTATTATCCATGAATGACTATTGTAGTAACAAAATGTATACCCTTTAAAGGGACTGAAAATTATTTTTATTTTTATTATGTGAGAAAATTACCTGCTTTGAGATTTACAGGGTACACCTGAATTATTTACCTGAAAGAAATTTTGGGTGAGGAAAAGGGGGATTGGTCACAGTTCACTGAACTGTAATCCTTTGCTGCCCACTTCTTGCCTCTCCAAAAAAGCTAGACATGACTTTAAAATTTTAAAAATTTATAATTTTAAAACCCAGACTTGGTAAAAAAAGTTATGTAACTGTATGGATTTTTTTTTATTTGCGGGGTACAAAAATATTATTTTAAACATTTAAACCTTTAAAAACCCGTAGGGACCAACCACCCCTCCTAACACCTAGATTTACAAGGGCCACAAATTGACTAAATGCAAGAACAAGTAGTGACATTCCTGGAGTGATGTCGCCCCCTTACCTCAAATTTAAAATTCAATGCAAGTTTCAGAAATTTGTTTTTGGGTTGGTTCACATTTTAGTAAAATAGGATTACAGAGTGTACCCTAGAACGTTAGCATGGCTGGGGCATTTCGGGCAGATTAGTTTTTTCTTAATTGAAAAAATATTACAAATTATGAGGAAGTTGGTATTATGGCAAGTGACTAAATCTAGTTTGGAGTTTAAAATGTAAATGCTTTTTTTTTGGCACGTACATAGTTTCAGTTTTGGAGTATCACGGGATTCATTATTTTAAGATTGAGATTAATATTTCTTTTTATGGTCAAATGAGGGAGTGAGTTAAGTGTGAACCCCCAGGGGGTATTCGTGTTTAGTTATGGGGTGTATCAGGGAGATAAATGTTTTCAAAATGGATTTTTAAAGGTGAGAATGTTCTGCGTTCTAGAGTTCTCAGGTAGGGTATTCCAGATTTTAGGGCCTTTGACAACATTAAATTTTTTGAAAAGGTTTAGCGGACCGGGAAATGTCGTAGAGATGTTTGTGTCGGGTGTTATCCTGTGGGTTCTGTAAAAACATAAAGAAAGCGTTTTGGTTTAAAGGGTTGTATTGAGTTTAAGGCCCTTTAGATGTAGATTGCCATAGTATGGGATGTATGAAGGGGGAGAAATTTTAAGTCTATGAAGGTGGGGGGGTGTGTTCCGGGGATGGGATTTTGTGTTTATTCTTACGCGCTTTTTTTTGGGTTATTATTGGGCTTTAGGGTTTGCTGCAGTTGACCCCAAGCAAAAATAGCATAGGTGAGGTAGGAAAAAAAGTGAGGGTTTAGTGTGAGAAGGGCTTTTGGGCACTTTGTATCGTATCTTGGGAGGACCCCAAACTTTTTTTGGAAACTTTTTTGGTTATATGCTGGATTGGGTGCTGAAAATTCGGGTTTGTTTCAAGGTATAACCCTAGGATTTGCCCCCATTATTTTGGTATTAAGTGTTGTCAATTTTAATTTTAAATTTTTGCATCTCCTGCTCGTACCAAACATATTAGTGGTTTTGTCGTGTTAAGCGTAAGTTTTTGGGCTGTATCCAAGTCGATATTTTAATCGCCCTCATTCAAAATGGTTTTGGGGGGTGGCAAGTTTGGGTGAAATACATAAGTCGTGTCGTCAGCAAAAGATGAGTTTCAGGTGTTGGGATACTTTGGAAGGTCATTGAGTATATGGGGAAGAGCAGGGGCCCAAAGGGACACCCTGGGGAACCCCAGTATCAAGGGGCCGTGTGCTGATGCGGGGTTCTTTAATGGTGACATATGAACCTATTAGTAATGTAAGTTTTTGAAATAAGCAAGCGCAGGGCCCTCTTATCCGAATGACAAGTTTGTGGAGTAGGATGTCGTGGTCTACTGTGTCAAAAGCTTTTCTTGGTCAAAAAAAAATTCCTAGTGGATTTTCCTTATTTTCCAATCTGTGTAAGCAGATCTAGCATTTTTATGATTGCATCATTATGCTTTTATTTTTTCCGAACCCCAAATTTGGCAGGGGTTTGAGTATTTTTGAGCCGTTATAAATGAATACAGTCTCCGTCCCGAGTTTCTCAAATTTTTTGGATAGAAATGGTAATTAGATTTTGGCCTATATTTTTAATCTGTAGGTCCCCACCTTTATTATTGGTGAACCCCTTTGCCATCTTGAGTGTTTGGGGAAAGGTTTAGTCTTAGTGACTTTTTTAAAAGTAATGAAATAGCATCGAAAAGGGCATGGGCCGTGCTTTTACATAATGGTGGGGCTGGACAATTCCCCCAGTTATTTTTTAATGACTTTATAATCTCGGGGACTTCCGTGGCTCAGTGGTGCAAGATAGAAGGAATTGGGAAATTCCATTAGGTGTCCCGGCATGGGGATTTGGGATGTGGGATTTTACTGGGGAGATTAGCCTATAGTTGGAAAAAGTCGTTTATTTTGTTAGCTGTGTCATGGGATGTAGTGGTGTTTATTAGGTTTGTTTGGACAATTTCTTGGTTTTTTCATTTTGTGGGCCCTAGAACTGAGAGAGTGTTTTCCAGGGCTTTTTTATATCTCCTCTAGTGTCTGTGAATCATGGAGTGAAGTTTTTTGGGTTTCTTTTTTATTTGGTGAGAGTGATGAATAGTTTTAAAAATTCTTTGTGTATTTAACCCGTCTTATTTCTTTTCTATTTTTGTTTCTTGTCAAAGGATTTTTAGAATGGTGTGGTTTCCCCTGGGGAACCAAACCCTTTTGTTTGTGATCGTTTTGTTTTTATAGGAAATGTTTGTTTAAGTTAAGTAATTTTTTAAGAAAAATGTTTGTCCAGTCATCAAAACCATTGGCCTTGGGGAATTCTGTAGGGACCATCCCCTCATAATTTTTGAGGGGCCGCAAATTTCCCCCCAATTCTTTAGCAGGGGGAAAATAACACAGGTTCCTATTACTGGTCAAAACACCCCCTCGTGGCCCGATGACACCAGTTTTTTAGTATTGAACAACCAGTGTACACACTTAATTCAATATGGCATCTTCCTGGTGTCCCTACGGGTCTTCCACACCCTTTTTACTTAAAATTTCTTGAAAGGGGGCAATTAGCTCATATTTTTTTACACAATTATTGTATTATTTAAAATTTTCACATGCAATTTAGGAAAATCTAAAAAATTTTCCAAAAGTATGGTAATTTTTTTCAATAACAGTTTCAGCTACCAGATGTGTGTTACTGTAATCAATTTTTATGAGGAAATTAAAACTTTTGGGGTAAAAAAAGTTCCATTACACAATAGAGCAAAAAAATAATGTAAAAGACCCGGGGTATTATGTCGAAGATCTCACCACAAAAACCAAAAATTGTATCAATTCATCTGCTAGAAAAATGAAGGATGGATAATAGAACCTTCAAAAAATAGGGTGCCAAACCTTTTGGAAAATTGCATTTAGTGAATGTATCATTATTTCATAACAGTAAAGAACAAAGAAAAAATTTTATTTTTCAGTTGACAAGTAGGGGAAATTTGGAACCTAGGTCGCAAAAAATGTCCCCCCTTTGAACCCCAACGTCATATCCACAAGTTGTCTGGCCCATCATTTCAAATGAAATATTTCATACCCCAGGAATTCTGGTAAATAATAAATTTGTGGACGGTTATTAAAATTAATAAATGATTATATATATATATTTTTTATTTATATATATTTAATTTTATATATTTTTTAATATTAAAATAAATTATATATATTATTATATAAATATTTATATATATATAATACACCCCTACAACAATAAGACCAGTCCCCATAACATTTTTCTTTTCAAATTACAGGGTCTTTAAAAAAGCAACAAAAACAAAATACCCTTTTACCGTGGACTGCTTGCAGGGCAAAGGCAATGTTCGCGGCTTTCATGAGACCCACATAAAGGGTCACTTGGACAACGAAATATGGATCCAGGTTAAAAAAACCTATAAGATGGACAGAGTGAACAGGCAAAAAGGGGGGGGGGGGGTTGGCCTGTACATTTCAGGTCATTGTTTGCACAGAACTGCTAAAAGCCTCAAAGATGTATGAAGTTTTAGCTAAAGGTCGAGAACCAAAACCCCTAGTCATTGTGATAGTTACAAGCCTGGGATGAACATCCCAGCAATTCCGGAACAGCTGTTAAAAATTGCACGGGTCGGAAAAACCTTCCAGCTCCGCCCCCACATCTTTTCCCTGGGATATTTCAACTTAAGGCCCCCTAAATGGGGGAATATAGCAAATAATATTGTTGCAGTAATAAACCCAGGAGGCAGCTTGAGAAAACTACACTCACGCGAGCTTTTAAATCTCGCACAAAATTTTAAATTTTAAAACCCAGAAAAAATAACCTACTAACTGGAATACATAGACCCATTTCCCAACAATAATGATCTGTAAGAAATATCACCATATAAAAAACAAATACTCAATCACAACAAATTGAGGTTAGCATGTATCCCGGGGACCCCCAGCCCGACTTTAAGAGTTTAGTCACGAGGGAGATTCACCAAATTCAACTTCAAAAAAAAAAAACATAAAGGGGGACCAAGTAAACCAAGTCCTAACCGTATAAGCTGGGAAGATATACTAAGCAACACAGACCCAAATTATCCTAGAACAGTTTAATGGGTGGCATGATTAGAAAAGGGGCTTATTCCTCTAAAAAAAAGGAGGAGTAATGTAAAACAAAGAGACGGCGCTCCCTTTACGGCGACGGAAAAGAATAACAGAGCGCTAAAAAAAGGGCAATATATCTGAAATGCGTGGGAGACACTGGTCAGAGAAAAAGCAAGCATCGAACTTAAGCAAAAGAATCCTTTAGGAGTCAGGACGCGGGAAGAACTAAAAGCCTAAATGAAAACGAAAGAACCCAAAGTATTTCTTCTCCCTATCCAAATCAAAAACGAGAACAACGTCCCTATTGGGCCCCTACTTAAAAAAAGATGGGTCCTACCAATGCGCAAGGGGAAAAGAGTGAGCTACTCAAATCCCCCAATATGACTCAGTTTTTAGCAAGCCGCTAACCAACTGGATCGAAATCAAAAAGAATTT